ATACTCATATCACTCCATCTTCTAAATAAACAAGATCAACAACAAAAATATTTTCCATCTGCTACTTCTCTTCATCCCCACTGCCAATATTCCTATCAAAACTATCATTTTCTTCTGACTGGGTAGTGGAGTAGTCCTTGAATTTCCTTCCTGTTCTCAATCTGGTCCGTATTTGATCCATTTATTTCCTGCAGTTAGAGTTATCTTACTACAGTGCAAGCCTAATATGTATGTGTGTGTGTATATATATATATATATATATTATATACACACATACATACACATACATATATATGTAAAATATATATAATACATATATAAAGTATATATATAATAAATATACCTATAATATGTATTTATGTGTATATATAAAATAAAGCCTAATATATCATATAGGGAGATACATATGTTATATCTCTATATATAATCACTTGCTTAAAAACCACCCAATGAATTCTTTCTCTCAGTTGAAAGTCCAAGCCCCTTGCCTTGTTTTCCCCTGTGGCTCCCACATGGCATGACCACTGCTCACGCTCTGATCATCTCTCTCATTCCCACCCCCCTCTGCTTCTCACATTCTATAACTGGGCAGGAGGGACACTTCATCTTGTCTCTGCGTCATGTACCATCTTCCCTCTTGACCCTTGATCTTGCTATTTCCCTTTCATTTTATCTGCCTTTCTCATATACCCCTGTCCCCTTTTCAACCCCCAGTTACTAACTAACCTCTACTGAATAGAGTCTATTCATACTCCAGGGCTTAATTTAGATATAACTTCCATCAGTAAATCTCTGAGTTTTCCATGAGATTAGGTGTCCGTTCTAGGTGCTCCCATGGAGCTCCATGCTTTATATATCACAGAGCTCACCATGCTTCATTGTATTTGCTATTCCTACTTTGCTTTCTCAACCAGACTGTACCCACCCTGAGAACAAGTGTTATCTACTTCATTTACTATTTCATTTTAGATATGTAGTGAAGTGCTTTGCATTTGGGTGCTCAATAACTACTGACTGAGTGAATAAATGAAAGTAAGGATATTTTTATAAATAGCGAGAGAAATCTGAACAGTAGGAAAAATGAAATTGACAGCTACCACATAGTCTCTTAATTCTTACTTTAAAAAAAAACAAATGTAAAGTTTAATAAAGGTTTTTTTTAACAAATAAATGCTTTATATATAAGAACTCAACATTTTCATTAAAGAGATCAAGTAAATACATACTGATAACAACTAGTGACATTCATGCACTTCTCTAGGGCCTATAGGAAAATGAAACAATAAAAATACATGGTGACTTGTGTATTGAAATCCTTTGCCTTGCTGTTTAAATACAGCAGAGTCATTATTTTATCTTGGGTCAGTTTTCATGCAAATTACCCTAATTGATATATGACTATTTTCAGTTTGTCACAGAGTCCACCTTAACCACAGCATTCAACGTGCTACACCACCCACTGTCCCTATCCATTTTGTCCTGTCAGAGTCACATCAAGCAGCCTCTGAGTGTAATCACATCAAAATCGATTTTCATGGCTGAGAGAAAAATAATGGAAATTTCTCTAATGTAGTAAATGTATGTGTTCCTTTTGGTTAACCAAAATAGACTATACATCAGACCTGTCAAAATTAAGTTTTTTTGACTCACTGCTCTTCCACCAACGTGTATACAAATTACAGAGGCAGACTGTGGAGCACCCTGATGCAATCTTCCTGCTTCTCTGGACTGCTCCTGGATCTCTCCCACATGAACAGTCTCACCATGTTATCAAGCTACAAGCCAATCTACAGCCTGCACCTCTAAGCAATCTGCTTCACATTAGGATAGTGCTTTAAACCTATCACTTTTTAGGTCAATGATTCTCCTATTATGAGGTGTTCCCTAATAGCAATGATAACATTTATATGGTCTCACAACCAAACTCAAATACAGTCATGCCTCACTTAATGACTGGGATGTAACAGAAACGAGCATTACTCATTCTCTGAGAAAGGTGCTGTTAGGTGATTTTGTCATAGCATGAAAATTAGAGAGTGTGCTGATCAAACCTAGATGGTATAACCTACTCCACACTTAGGCAGTAGGGTGCACCTGATACTTCTTATGAAATCACCATTGTATATGTAGTCTGTTGATCAAAACATCACTATGCGGCTCACGACTATGCCATTTTTTTGGACTTTTTCCCAGATCATCATTGTTTCTTTCTATCATCATTTAGTGCAAGGAAACACTTGCTTAAATTTCAGTGTTCATTTCTCTCAAGCCAGCCATGGTGAGTAACCAAGTCTAAATGGTAAGATCCCTACGGGGTTATCATTCTGCTTTATATTGTGTATGATATTCTCTCAAGTAGATTCATCTTCAAGATCCTTGCAGCAAGTTTTTTTTCTTTTTAATTTCTTGGTAAGTACAGTCACAGTTGCATGATAATATTAGAAGTGAATTTTAGATCCAGATTAATTACTTACATTCTTTTTTTTTAACTACCTACATTCTTCTAAGTGTATCAGTTCCCTCCTAAACTTTGAAGACCAAGATAAGTACTAAATGAAAGCTTATAACATTGATAATTGTTTTTATTACTAAGAATGGGCTTGAGTTCAATATATTCAAAAGCTAACCCATGATGTCATGCTGAGAGTTGCTGACTAACAGATAAATCCTTGGGCTAATAAATATACTATTGAAAATTAGAATTCAGCAGTTACTTACAAGCAAGAAGTAAACCAAAAATTATTTTAACATCAATGTAACGAAATGTATTATGCTGAAATGACAAGATTTAGGTTCTTGTCCTAAGAATAGTAAAAATGAATGCATACTAAAACATACATTTTATCATATATGCCAAGATAAGTTCCAAAGAAACATCAGTCAGTGTGGACACTCATTAAAAAAAAAAAATACACGTCTCTAATATCTATCCTCTTTTAAAATCAAGGTTATTTCTTAGTTCAGTTTCTTCATTCAAAACTAATTCTTCTAAAGCTCAGATGAAAACAAAATCAATTCTTAGAGTTTGGTAGTTGTGAACAGCAATGAGAAATTGGTTTGCATGTCTGGTAATAGAAATCTTGTTAAAAGTCAGGTTGCTGTTTTAAATCCCTGGAATTTTTGAATAAAGTATCATGTTGATATAGGTGTACCACTAGAGATAGTGTTTATTGTTTGACATTCACATTTAATTATCTTTACCCTAATAATTTGATTCTATAATTTATAATATTCAATAAGGTTTTTTCAAAATAGCAGATAATATGCTATCTTAGAAAACAAATTGGATTTCAAATTAAGAGTTCTGTTTTCAACTTAAACTTCCTGAATCTGACTCACTGAACAAATCTCTTTTAGTAGGGAACAATCCCCTTTCAGCATTTCTTTTGAAATCTTTTTTTATTTTGGAGAGGTTTTTGCTATAGGGCGCGTGCACTCGCCAGACAGACAGAGAGAGACAGACAGAAGCGAGAAATCAGATTTCTCCTCCGTTCTCCTCTTGGGATCTTGGGCACGCATGCACACGTGCCCGGTGTGAGCTTTAAGCCACTGGGTCTGGAAGGCGAACCGTGGTCGACTACATGGGAGTCCAGCGACATAGCCATTACGCTAACTGCTGGTCCCTCTTTTTAAATCTTTAAAAAGCCAATTATCTTGAGCTTTAATTCTCTATGTAGCTTACAAAATACTCCTTATATTCATTTTATACTTCTGTAAAACCCCTGAAAGAATTATTTTTATCATTTATAAAGATCTTTTAGATTCATTTAGGATTTTAAACACCTAATGGTAGAATTTTTGGGGGGATATATGATAACTGTTGACTGATAGAAAATCTGAACTGGCTTTGGTAACAGTCTCCTTCAAATACTAATGAAAATGTTGTAAAAAGGCCAACCTACCCAGAATGATAAGAAATCCATTCATACCTCTAACAGACTTTCAATTCTAGACATTGCAGCTTCTGGGTGGCATGTCTGATGTGATACACATTAGCATAATCGATAAGGAAATTGATCCAGTACAAAGATGAGAGGGAAGAACTGGCAGTGGAGAATTTCTTTCCTGAAGCATAGATTTGAAAAACATAATTTCTGGCTATTATGCAACAGTAGAAATTCTTGACTTGCCCAGACTTTCATCATGAAAAATATCCCTTACAATCTATACACTGTTTCTAACTAAGCAGCAGCATAAATTAATAAACTACATTCTCACATGGCTTATTACATTGTAGATACATTGATGGTTATGTTTGTCTATTTCAATATGTGTCCAAATTATACACCATAGTCCAGTAATGCCTGGTCAATGACTAGAGGGGTTCAATGCATCAGCATTAGAACATGTTTATTATATGCGTTTTTTGCACTTGAAGTTGTTCAATAAACATGCATTTATATAGAGAGATTTAGTAATCACTCTTGCCAAGTATACTTCTGGGTATTCTCATTTAATTTCATATTAACTTTGCAATGGCAAGAGCTGGACATATTTCTGGAATTTGCTGAGTTCAAATCCAGTTTCATCCCATACCTGCTACATGGCCTTCGACAAATTGCCCCACCTTTCTGTAATACATTTTTCTCATCTCTAAGTTGGGGATAATCAGAGAACAACATGTCATGGAAGCTTTGTGATGATTTAATAAGATAAGGCATTGAAGTATTTCGCGTGGCAAATGCTAAGTGCTCTATAGGGTAACGTGTCATTGCCTCTACTTTACATAGCCCCAAAACTGAGGCTAAAAGAGAAATCTCTTGTTTGTGGGAAAATAGGTAGTAATAACAATTGGAATGCACTCTCTCTTTCTCTACATAGGAAGTCCTAATGTTTCTTATTTTTAAAAATGTTCTTGGGGACCAGCAGTTGGTGTCATGGGTAAGGCACTGGACATTCCCGCATGGCCAACCATGGTTTGAGTCCCAAATCTAGTGGCTTTTTTTTCCACTTTTCCCCCTTTGTGTGTGTGTGTGTGTGTGTGTGTGTGTGTCTGGGTCTCTGTGTCTCTCTGGCTTTTAAAAAAAGAAAAAATAAGTATTCTTATCATCATAATGCCTGTGCATTAGTTTTAACAGGTCAACGGTGTAAGACTTAAACAAGTGCAAACAAGAGAAGACCTCCATTTTTCCCTTTGAATTCTAGTAAAATGCCAGTCTTTATGTCACATTAATTTTAGACATTTTTCATTATTTTCCTCTGATGAAATATCGAGGCCTAATATCCAAATGTCCTCACCACCTCCTTCACATTCTTTCATTCACTAAGTATGGTTATATTGAAATTGTTCAAATAAGGCAATTTTCAATGTTTGTATTCCATCGTCTAAGGAATTCTATTTCATTCTTGAACCAAGTAAATCACTATATTTCAAGTACCTTTGCAGTGCAATATTTTTCTCAGATTTAAATGATTTTCTTCAATGAGCATTCATGTAAGTTTCTATGTCCACGTATTAATTTTGATCACCTACTTGTTTCTCCATTCCCATGGGGGCGTTGTTCCTAAAGGTCCACATTCTATGCCATTCTTCTCTCACTGTATCTCAGGCCTGCAGTGCTGCTGGCATGCTGAGGTTGATTCTTTCTTCTCTTGATGAAAACCCCACTTTTTCTGCATTCCTGGTCTTCTTTCTGGTAATACGCTACTGTGATGGAACACATTCCGAGATGCTGGAATAGTTGCCTAAGAAAAAGCACTGAGTGATAAGTAGTTTGAAAACTACCTGTTTCAAAATGACTTTCTTTTATCATCATAGATCTATGGACATATACATGGATATGAAATTCTATGTTGAATACTTCTTTTTAATTTTTTTTCCAAAATTTTTAAAGCATTAGCTCCATTGTCATTTAGTTTCCATTTTGGCTTAAGATGTCTATTGCCATCCTATTTCTCTGTGCTTTATAGATGATCTGTGCTTATAAATGATCTGATACTTTCTGTCTCCATGAAAGTATCTGGATCTTGGGCCAGCAGGCAGCATGGTGGTTAAGGTGCTGGACTACTAAATGACCAGCCATGGTTCAAGTCCCAGACCTGGCTACTTGCTTTCTCGCTTTCCATCTCTCTCTTTCTCTCTCTCTTTCTGTTTTTCTCTGGTGAGCACATATGCCCTATAGCAAATTAGAAAATAATAATAATAAATAAAATTAAATAATTCTTCAAAAAAATAAAGTATTTGGATCTTAATCTATTCTAACTTTAGAAACTTTATGGTATGTCTTAGTGTGGAACTTGGTTTTCTTTTTCTTCCTATTTTGTGTAGTAATGGGTTTTTAATTATGAGAAATTCCTTTGCATTACTTCTTTGATAATTTCTCCTTTCTAATTTATTTTTGTTCTTTTTTATTTTTCCCTTTAGTTTTACACTAGTCAGATCCTTCTAGAAGGAAACTCCTAGACAGTCATTTTTTATTAATTTTATTATTAAAAATATCAGGCTGGCTCTGCAGCACAGTGTTTAGGTACAGAGCAGAGAAAGCTGCATCCCACATATATTACTAGATTTTTTGTTTGTTTGTTTTTTTGGAGAGATTTTCACTGTAGGGCGCGTGCGCTCGCCAGACAGACAGAGAGAGACATAGAGACAGAAAGCGAGAAATCACCCCCCAGGGGGGATGGTCACGCCGCAATCCCTTCTCCTCCATTCTCCTCTCGGGATCTTGGGCACGCACGCACACGCGCCCGGCGTGAGTTTTAAGCCACCGGGTCCGGGACACGAACCGCGGTCGACTATGTGGGAGTCCAGCAACATAGCCATTATGCTAACTGCTGGTTCCCTAGATTACTAGATTTTAAGTCAATATACTCCCTTGTTGTCCACTCTT